TTTTACTTTTATAATTCTCAATTACTTTATATAGGTATATATCCATACATAGAACACGAAAAGTAGAATGAATTGGTGTTTCTAATTTTAATAAATATATGCTCTGCTTTTTAAACATGTGAATTTTCAGAATAAGCGAATATAATATGGTATCCTTATCATGAAATTTATTAAGAAATAATTTTAAAATATAAATATAAATTTAATACAAGTAACATATGGATGACTATGGAACACTTAAAAACAGTACTGCACTTTGATAGAAAATTATAACAGATACATACATACATTATTTAAAAAAAAAACCTCAAACTTGGAAGGAAATTAAAATTTATGTACCGCTGCACAGTGTGGCAGAATTAAAATTCGATGATAAAAATCCGATATTTTCTGCTCCTATTGATATAGTATAAAATTAAGTTTTCTTTAAACATATATTTTCAAATGGAATTTTTTTTTAATGTATTTTGAATCAAAGCGGCCAGCCGGAACCCCTCCAAATTTGAGCGGAAACATGGTGAACATTTCTATTTATTTTAATATCTCAAAAACTATAATAAGTAGAAAAATGGAGATTGGGATACAAAGTACTGGTAATATACAACTAAGATTCAGAAAGTTTCGTGATACTCCACCCAATGCAATACCTACCCCTTATAAAATTTTTATAAAAAGAAAAAAAAAATATTTTACTTCTATTAAATTATGTATGTTTATTAAATATATAAAAAAAACAACTTCAAACAAAAAATGGAAGTGATCTTCTTATTACTTTTTAAGTTATTTGTAATTTTATGGAATTTTAATGTTTAGCTCATCTCAAAAATTATATTTAGGAAACAACAAAAAAAATAAAATTCCAAAGGAAGAAAGGTCCAACAAAATATATAAAATAGCATCTATAGGATATAACAAAGAAAAATGTGACATAGTCTATAGTGCAACAACCGAAAATTTATTAAAAACAAGAATCAGTGGACACAAATCGGATCAAAAATTAAGAAATAAAAAAGTTTTAGAACATAAAACTGCTGCCCACTGTACAATGAAATTACATGAAGCCAATTTTGAACAGGCAGAGGTGTTATGCGAAGAGAAAAATTATGGAAACAGATTAACGCTAGAGGTCTTTAAAATACCTCAAAACAAAAGAATGAACTATAAGACAGACACGGAAAATGTAACCCACCTCTATAGAGAAGTGATTAGTAAAAATTAGCACAATATATACGATAGAACAAAGAGGAGGACGTGTAAGTAGTTTGAATAATATTAACTTATTGTATGTAAACATTACATAAAATTTTTATTTAGAAACTTTAATATATATAATTCAAAAATAAAAATTTTCTTTATAGATCGTAATCCTGATGATGACTCTCAAGGAGAGTCGAAATATAACATAGAGTATAATAATATATATTAAACGTTTTATTTTTTAACAAGAAGATAATAAAATAATTAAATATATATAAAAAAAGCCATTTTAATAAACAGGTCGAAAAATAAATTAAAAATACCGAATTTTGATCAACTAATTTCAGTTCTGCCACACTGTGCGCTGCTTTTGCACAGACCTTCTTCAATGCAAAAAAGTTCCCTTATCCGCATTCAATTTTGAATTTAGTTTATTAAAATCTGTGGTGCGCTTACAACGTGTTTAAAATATTTGAAGAACTTGGACTAGACCAATCTAAAAGTTATAAAGTTATAAAAAATTAAAAATTGTTAACAAATATCCAAAATTCTTTTTAACATAAACAATTGATTAAAAATAAAAAGTATAGTGTTATTACTGCAGAATAGGATGGAACCTTCAAATAATCAGTCAATAAATAATGAAGTACTTCTGAGTGTAAGAATTATACCTATTTTAAATATTTATTTATTTAAAATACAATAAATAGAGTATATAAATATTAAAATATTTATGCAAAAAATTTAAAAGTGAACTTATAATAATGAATTTCATTTGAAGAAAGGTGTAAATATATATGCTGGCCTGTTCTTGACTTATTTATTATTTTCAATTTATTTAACAAAAAAATAATGTTATTTTTATTTATGTTTTTGTGGTGAAGTGAAGTATTAATATATTTTCTAAACTATAAGTTAATTCCATCAATCACGTCATTTCCAACTTTTGTTTACACGTATTTTTAATAAAAATGTAAGAAATGGCATATCTTTTAGTATAAAATATAGAGAAGATAATAATATTAATTATTATTAATAATAATTAATATATCTAACAAAATAGTTTTAATAAAAAAAATATACCATCGAATTTTATTAATTAACTTAAAATATTTTGTAAATGATTTTCAAAAAATTTAGTAAATAGATCCTCCTTTTCTAGATCACAAAGACAATTTGTTGGATGAATAGAGCAAACATCGCCTTCAGGTTTTGTATTCAAATTATTGTAAAGACGTTTTAGACTACTACAGTAGACTACAGTTATGAAGGTAGTCATTAAAATAGTCATGAACCAATAAATAAATCTTCAAATTTTCAATTTGTAATCCTATTGCTTTAAATTCTAAAAAGTCGCAGATAACATTTACCAAAAATTGTAATCATTATTAAACAAATATGTTACCTCAGAATCGTCTTCTGAGCCGTTTAGTTGCCCATGATCTCTATTCGCAATCTATTGGATTTAACGAATACCGTTTCTCTTAAAACAGATATCGAAAAAATAAAGTACATTGGTTTAAACTCACCCACAATGTAGATGTCGATTGAGTCGATTTGATCAATCATAGTAGAAATCCAATATAAAGCATCATGTGTTGGTATACGTTACATTGCATAGGATCGAAATTGTTACAAATATTTTTGTCCAATGTTTCTAATGTTAACTTAAGTTTTGAAACGAAAAGGGAAGAAACATGTCTTTATATACGAAACCAATAAAATTTAGCATTTCCTTTAATTGAATTTAAGGAACAATTGTTGCAAAGCAATTAAAAAAAAGTTGGGACCCTTTACATTACTTTAGTACATATTTTGATTTGACTATCAGTTGCCTTCGTAGATTCTTTGTTAATATTTTAACATATTTTTTGTCTATCAGAAATAAAATTAATGTCAGTTATGACGGCAATGACTATTTTACTTAATAAAAACTGTTGTACTTGTAAATGAAATTTATTTTAATTTATATAATAAAATAATAAAATTTTTTTTATTTATTTGTTTCGAACAGTAGTCAATTGCAACAACAACATTTTGTTTTTTATTAATTTTTAATTATTTGTTTAAAATAAATGAACCGCTCTACAAATTTTTTATTTTAAAATAAATTTCATTTCTCATGCATAAATGTTTAAACTAAGAGAAAGGGATATCACCGCAATTTTTATAAAAAAAAACTACCACATACTCTTACATATGATTAAGATCATCTATATTATAATTTTTATCTTGCCAGAAATTCTAAAAAATTTACCACAAAAACAATTTTTAAACAAATTTACATACATACATTTGCAACTGATGAGGTAATTAAAATGTTGATAAAACTGCAATAAAAGAGAAAATGAAAATTTATGAAAAAAAATAAATAAATGAAAAATGTATATAAATATACAAATTAATATAATATATAAATATTTTCAATTACTGATAAAAAAATAAAAGCAAGATATTTGCATTTATAAAAATATTTTATTCTGATGTGTGTAGTCAAGAATGAGTTACACCCCCTGCCCTAAATTAGTGACGAAGACTTTATTATGATGTTCTGTAATAATCAGAGTGTGAAGCAGCTTTCACCGATTATGCATGTGCGGATCGTGAGGGTGCTTGATATAAGATTATGGTGATTATTAATGCGATCACAGAGCAAGTGATTTAAAAATTGCGGATATGAAACTAAGTTTTATGTGAAACACCTTTTTTTTTCTTTTGCTCTCGATTAACTTATCGTCTGTTTTTTTTCAAATAAAAAAATTTGCATAACGTTCTGAATACTACCATGGTTCCCATTAAAAATTCTCCTTAGCGATAAAAAAAATAATTATAAATAATTTGTTATTATAATTTAATTATATATTTTACATTTATTTACATTAATTGATTAATGTTTCATTTGTTTACTGAATCTTCCATAATAATTCAAAATAATAATTCTACCTTAGATCTAAAACATTGTATGTGTATGTAGTACACATTATCCAAAAAGAATAGTTTTTTACGTTGAATCTCAGGAAAAATAATTTAGTATATTATAATTTTTTATTATTATTTGTTTTGTGTGACGGGGAGTAGCGGAATGCCTATGCATTGACCACAATACCTACTCCTCGGAAATTGAGTGCCTGACTTGCACGGACTGCAACACTTCCTCTCATTTTTAGAGACTTTGTCCCACATCGGGACTATGTTAGTATAACTTCGAGATAGGGTCCCTATTAGTCACTTAAGACTTCTATCGGTGTAACCTGCGTTCACTACCCCACTACTGCTTCAGGTGGCTAGCCTTGCACTTAGTCTTGGTGTAAGTCTATTATAAATAAAATGCTGGAATTTGATTGGTTATTATGAAATTATACATTTTCTCGCAAATAAAAGTAATATTGCCGTAGTAATGCAGAAGCAAGCTTGATCTGTCTGTTTATTAACGCTAGATTAACTACAGTGTTAACCGTTGGAAGAAAGAATTCAAGTACCATGGTAGTTTGTGCTTGCTGTTGAATAATAATGTTATATCTAGTCAATAGCAAAGAGTGGTACTCAAAAAGGGCATAACTCATCTAGTTTAGGCTCCAGACATTAAATCTTTCCACTCTTTCTCTTTTTTCCAACGATAATAATGTATGGTTTTCCAATAGGAACTTAAATGATTTTTCATTGGAAGATTTCTTGCATTAGAATTACGTTAATAAGAAGTTACCTGGATAATTAGCTTTAGTATTTTGCCTTAGGAAGTCTTAACTAATTGAGATCACTAGTGTAGCATACATATTGTAAGTATAAATAGCTTTTATTATTTTTATATATCACTGATACTGTTTAAACAACATATACTATATAAAGTTGTCACATTAGACTCAGATGCGTTATGCTTAGTATAATTTATCTGATTACGGGAGTATTAATCTAGCTAAGCTATCAGAAATTTTATATTTTTTAACAGACTTTTGATAGTGGAATGACACCACATTTAGTAAAATTCTACTATATGATATAAAAGCGTACCAAATAGTTCAGGAGTAATCAGAACAGTTCTTATATTGGTTTATGTACTCGTCAGCTATAAGCTGCAATGTACATATAGTCCTAGTTTCCGTTCTATAAAATTGGACTTAAATGAAGGTTTATTGGTATAAAATTAAAGAAAAACATCGGGTTCGAGCTTTGGTTTTAGCAGGTAAATCTTATGTCAAAGCAAAGGCACCCAAATTTAGATGTGGTTCATGTGACATTCTTTATCCAATATATTTCGATAATGTTATCGTATTTGTATGAAGTAAGTCTAAAAATTTTGTTTTTAATTTTTATGTTTGAAATTGAAATAAAATTTTATACTTTTTATTTAAAATTTTGTATGAGCGAATTCAAAAATACAGTACATTAAGAAAAAAAAAATATTCACTTGCTTGATTACTTTTACCTACAAGGGTCTGAAGAATTGTGCTTTAATATGCGTTTAAAAAAAAAAAATCGGCCCATCCCAACATTATATATAATATAATATCAGAATTATATAAGTTTTATAATATAATAATAAATATATCAACGGTATTAGAAATGTATTTGAAAGCATGTCGAACTTAACCAGAGTGTAAAAAATTTGATTTATTTTATTATTATTATTTTCTTTTTTTACTATAGTGATATATAGTGATATTTTTTTGATTTAATTGATAATTTTTTTTTCTTTTTTTATTTCTAAAGGACTTAGATGAAGATTTACATATGACTGAAGATGGTAAGAAATTCTTATAAAATATTCTGCATTTTATAATTCTTTTAACATATAATTCATTTAGCACCTGATTCTGATAATGCGTTATTATCTGATGGTATTGATGAAACTGATTTTGGTATACCCATTAATCCAGAAATGCTTGGGTTTGTGGAAATAAATGGTGTACTCACTCCTATTCCGGATGTTAATGCTTATCAGCGAAAAAAGACATTCGCTCAAGGCATGATGGACCTAGCACTCCTTGCGGCTAATGCCAATCAATTGCGTTTTGTACTCGACACCAATAGCGCACATCCATATTATTATGTCGGTATAGTTTTGATTGCTATGAGTATCGCTCTCCAGGTAATTTGAAAGAATGAAATTTGATTAATTTACATTTTTCATTTTTTAATATTATTTCATTTTTTAAAGATTATAGTTGGTATTGGACTCATTTGGAATACTCGTTACGATATTAAAAATGAAGAGGAAATAAGTAAGGCTAATAAAATTAGTAACTTCACGGTAATTGGAATTTTTATCGTTACTATCGTTAATGTCCTCATAGCTGCGTTTAGTGTGATTGACTCCAAGGATATAGGAACTGGATTTATATACAACGAAACAATGAAGAAAGAGTCATTTTTTTAGTTTTCATTTCATATGTATGGTAGATTATATTAATTAATTACACTTTTTAAGAAAAAATAATTATTAATAATAAATAATTATCTGATAATAATTAAAAAGATTATGTAAAATCTTTTATAAAGAAAGATTTTATTCATTGCATAATTTATTATAAATATAAATTCTAGTTTATGTTAATATATTAAATTTAATGTTTATTTATACTTTTTTTACAAATTAAAATACATAAGCAAATATAGTCTTTATGTTTAATAAAAATTCATAAATTTTAAATAAAATTAAGTTAGTTCAACTATTTCTAATAGTGGTGTTCGTTGCTTGTTTATATGTGTGACTAGAGGGAAGATAATGTTTTAATAGAAACTGATAATACACTTTGTGCTTGATTGCATCACCTGGATTATATTCGTATAGTGTTCTAACCTCAACAGCTTTGGATGATAAAGTTTCATGAGTTACAACACAAGATTTTGAACAAAAATCTGTTACCACAAATTATGTTTGTAATTTTCGACATTAAACTTGTATTTTTTACCCAGTTTACTTAATCCTTTATAAATATTAATAAGAAAATAAAGTTCATAATTGGCAGTTAAAATACCTAGGGTTTAAAAAAAATGAATAAGCCATCTTAGTCTTATTCTCTTTTATCAATTGTACTGTAACAGAATCTCTTTTGATCTGGATGTATGGCTTACTGTAAATTTAACACAATATGTTTGTTTGAGAAAACTCTAATTGACTCTACTTGAAAGCAAATGAGACCTCTAGTCATACTCTCTGCATCCGTTCGGGTTTGATCTGGGCTAAGAGAAGATCGCTAAACCGGAAATTTCTATTCCCATCTCATGTAGAGATGTTCATTATGATTTTCACTTAAAGAGGAAACTGACCTTTTCTTAATAAGAGTCGGTTAAAAGCCACTTTGCAGTGGAGCCTGTACCCTATATATAAGCTATTCATTATATTCTTCACTGATTAGGTACCAAATTTTTCATTAAATTAATAATAAACATATAGAGGCACACTATTTATATACATACACATAAAATGTTACACTGAGATAATTTCTATGATGAAGAATGAATTTCAAC